TTCCATCTAGTGGTTGTCTCAATTTCTGCGGCTCAGGCACTCTCTTTGCTATTGTCCCAAATTCCTGTGGCCTGTGGAAATGTGGTAAGTATACTAAAGAGGGAACTTTACAATATGCAGACTCTGCTTATGCTTGGTTCTATCCACTATAGGTAGTCCCTGCTTACCAACTGCCTTGTTTAGTGGCCATTCTAAGTTACGATGGTGTAAAAAAAAACAGCTTGTGGTTGCTAAGTGAGGACTACCTGTACTGGCTATGACCGGTATCTAGGCCCTAAGAGATCATACTTGTAAGAATCCTTAATGTGCACGCATTCAGGGGAGAAAAATTCCCTGCCTTCCTCTTAAGTAATTTTTATCCACGACTTCTGAGTGTGCAAAGGTTTTCAAGTACATTATATTGTTATCATCCTTACATTATGCTCCTAAAGCACGCCAGTATTATTTATCTCCATGTTATAGATGAAGGCGGAAGCTGAGAATGGTTGGACCCAATGTTTCTCAACCTTGGCATGTGTGGACTTCAACTCCCAGAATTCCACAGCCAGCATGGAATTGGTTGGACCTAAACTCTTGTTACTGGTTCGCAGAAAAGATAAGGATTAAGGGTTTCCTTCTGTCCCTAGCTCTGTCTGGGTTTACATGTGCAACTGAAAGAAGTGCTGAAGTCTTCAGATGATAGAGCAATTAGAACGACACCTTCTCAACCGGTTGTTCTCCACACAGTTTGGACTTAGACTCTCATTCTTCTTCATCAGCGTAACCTTTACCTGTTCCAATTAAGATTATAGGACTTGGACCCTAAGACTTCTCAAGGGCAGCCATTCAGAGAAGAAAGAATAGCCCCCCAACTCAGATCAAGAGACTAAGACTCTGTCTCACAGTGACCAGCTGGATGCATTTGGGGAGCTCACAAGTACGGCTGTCCTCTTCCATTGTTGCTTCCAGCTCACGGATGTCCACCGGATGGGATCCAAAAAGTCAAGACGGTAGCCACGCCAACGTGACTGAAGCGCCACCCATTTTTACATCCATGCAATGCACATTAAAAAAACACACAGAGTTTCAATTGTACCATCTCGACTTTTTGGACTGCACCCTGCGGACACCCTTGTCCCGGTGGCTAGCGTTTCAGGGATGCTGTCTCTAATTCAGAAAGGAGCCCATGGCCCTCAAGTCTAGGCGCCACTGAGAATTTGATCCTAGTCGCTCTGCAGAGAGATGGGCGGTGACAAATTTAAAATATAACTTGAAGACCTGGCTCTGTCACTTGGCCTGGGGTGGGGAGGGAATATCTCAAGCAGGGAGATGGCTAGCCCCATAGTGGCCGGCTGTCCCCGACCCAGTTTCCCATCTTCTTGGATTTTCCTTTTTTAGT